TGCAGGATCAATATGGTCTAAACCCAAAAAATTTTTCTTTTAATAAACTTTATGCAACGTGAGGCAGTCGGGTCAAAATGATCAATGTAAATATATTATTTTGAAAGGGAAAGGGAAATAGACTTTTTAATTATTGCAGTTTCAAACATGCCAGTTTTTATTATTTTTTTTTAGGCTGACTGCCTATCATTTCACTGACTTATTAGTTCTTCGGTTTCTCGTTTATGTTATGCTCAAAAATTCTTGAAGATATTGCTTATTCATGGTCTACTAGGGTCTTATTCTTTTTATAATTAACATATATACCTAACACCGTGAACGATAATGAGACCTAATAGATTGTCAAGTACTTTGTTGAAACATTCTGCTCATCTGAGTGCTTTTGTGTAGGCTTGTATGTCTTACTTTCAAAAACTTTTGCATTAATATATCCCCAGACTGCTTTTATTTTTTAGAGGTTGTATTCACTGGACTTTCTTTACCATCCTGTTAGCTATGCACACGATCTCACTGCTGTTGGAATTGAGTGTAACTATGTCTATATATATACATATATTGTGTAGTATTTATTTTTTATATGCATATATATGTATGTGTGCATTCATTGAAGACCGAATATAAGGCCTTATACAATATATTATCTAAAATTTTACTATTTTATTTTTATTTGTTCAGGCATTGTCAATTGTTTACATGCTGAAGTTGATTTGTTTTTTATTATTTTTTTCTTTTTGTAGGAATGCTTTTTATTTCTGTGTTGTTAATTATTTTTGTTTATTTTAAGAAAACTTTTGGATTAACCTAAATACTTTTTTCTTAAATGTTTTCGATGTTTTTGTAAACAATGTCAACATTTGTTATCTTTTTGAAGTTTCAAATGGTTTAGTGCTTCCTATGCGCTTTTAAACTTTGAGTGCTGAGAGGGCGTGTGCATGTGAAGTTTTTTACATTAACTTTAACGGAGACCAACAACAAAAGCTATGTCTATTTTTTTCCAATTCTTAAGATTTTTGTTTAAATTTAGGTTAAACATATTGTACAAGTTGTGATAAGAGCACAAAAAAATTACTTTAATTTTTTTTATGTTTCAGTATGATACATTTTACCCACCAAGCTATATTCGAAAATGAGTTTTATCGAAATCAAAGGTATTTTCTCTCAACTAAAATGATTAATTTTTGACCATAATCGGTGGTATTTGGTAATTCTCTTGCGTGTAATATATTATTCTATTAATATAATATTTATATATAATAATGCTAAGTATATGTGTTACTAGCATAGCCATGCATGATCATTTACACGGTGTTCTAGAGTAATGAGTACTATACATTTATTATTAAAGGTCTTCCTTGACGTCTTACATTTTACAAGTTTCAAGTCAATGTTGACTAACAAATATTGTTATAAGTTTTCAGGAATGACTGTCCTCTTTTTTTACATTATTAGAGGTCTTTCATGACGTCCTACATTTAACGAGTTTCAAGTCAACGTTGGGTGACTAATATCATTATAAGTCTTATGGAGGGTAAGATCGATTCCAGCATACTTTCGTTTTTTAACTTCAATTTTTATATTATATTGGTTGATAACTCTCAACATTTCTTTAATCGAAATGTTCCTAACAAAAATGAAACAAGTAAATATAAAGAGCAGCCCAAATTATAATAGGAAACAAAAACTATAGCAACATTGTCAAAGTGTTAGCACATTTCATATCTCTTTTATATTCTTCATCCTTATCATTAATAAAACGTGATTGGAGTTATAGCTTGTTATAGCTTGTTGACTTTTAATAATTTTTTTTTAACAGGCATTTGGATAACACGTCGAAGCAATCTGAGATATAATGATTTAATAAAACGAATGATCGTTGAGGATGCTTGTTTTAAAAGTCTTAAAGGAATCTAAAGAATTTCAGAAAAAATTTACTGTCAAGTGCTGAAATTTTATTTGACTTAGTGAGCTCTCTTTCTCTTACTCTCCCTTACTTTCGCTCTTTCTCTCTTTCGCTATATGTCTCTCTCTCTCGCTATCTCTCTCTCTCTCTGGCTATTTCTTTCGCTATTTTTTTTGCTATCTCCCTCGTTCTCTCTCTCGCCGTCTCTCTCTTTCTAGCCCTTTCTCTCACTCTTTCTCTCTTTCGTTCTTTCTTTCACTTCCTCTTTGTCCCTCTCACTTTCTGTTTCTGGCTCTTTCACTTTCTTTTTACTTGTCTGTCTAGCTCTTTCTGTCTCTCGCGAGCTCTTTCTCCATCTCTTACGTTCCCTCTCTCTTTTGTTCTTTCGTGTTTTGAGTCGTGTGAAAAATTCAGTACAATAAATATAAATAAATTATAATAAATAATAAATAAATAATAATAATTAAATAATTGTGGGATTTATGTTAAGAATCTAAAAGGTGTCTTATATGTGTTTATTTATTTGTTGTTAAAACAGAAACTGAAAAAGATCGGAATAATCCTATATTGCTAACAAATTACTTTATAAATTATATGACGCATATATGATAAATGATAATATGTATAATCAAATAGCAAACGAAGTATATAAATGTGCATTTAAATTAAAATAATAAATATTAATAAATTAAATATGCACATAACCTATAAATGTCATTAGACTATCGAGTAGATGTGTTCTAGAAAAGCGAATAAGAAGTTGATTTAGATTATAAGGCATATAATGAATAACCAGCATTTACTAAATTTATTTAGATTACGGAATTTCAGAATTGGAATTACTGTAGAATTCCTCAGTCTAGTGAAGATTTACTATATTAATTATTAGAAAAATATTTAACAAAGTATTAGTGTTGCTGTTAAGCTAGACTTACTTTGTATAGGGACAAAGAAGCTTTATTAAATTTTTCCTTTATTTCTTTCTTTGTTATTCGAAAACCCTTCTAAAAATATTTAACAAAATGAAAAAAATTTATAAAAGATGGCAAGAAAAAACTATTCATCTATTAATGAATATACTACATATATTCATGTATGTATATATTATATTATATGTATATATGTATGAAACAAAATATTTTTTTTTTATAGAAACAAAACAATACTACACCTTCGTACAAAAGTGCCTTTGCAAGTTTGATTTACTTTTTAAGCTAATTTTTTACGTTTAAAATTTTTATGAGATTTGACTTTAGTTGGCACTTTCAAGTACTTGCAAAGTCTTTCAAGTCACTGCCACTTTTTATGCGAACTAAAGTTGAAAACTTACAAATTAAAACAGTAGAGAAACCTAAAAAATTTACCGTCAAGAGAAGAGCAACATGTGCTGCAGCTGTTGCCGTCTTGCTTCTTGCTAATGCAACAATTAAGTGGCTGGAAGGTACTTGAAGTAATTGCCTCGGTAATATGCCCGCATAAATTGCAACACTTAAGTCAAAACTTATAATAAAAATACATACCCACAATTACTTATATACTTAAATTATACAAGAAAACTTAAAGTAAAAAGAAAAAAAAAACTCTGAGCAGATATAATATATACAACAGCAGCAACAGCCCAAGTACAAAATCTTGTCCTTTGTCTCTTTTAGTGCAGAAGTGTAGCACAAATTGGTCAAAAAAAGCAATAAAAAAAAATAAGTTGCAAAATTTTTAAAAGTTCTACACAAAGGTAAAGTGCAAAAAATTATAAAAAATATGTCCTTAATGGTATGTTTTATTACCACGAGAAAGTGTACTCTCCTTCATGTACTTCGGTACACGTCTCAAGGGCTTTTATTATATATGAAAGTATAAAAATGGAACAGCAAAAGAAGGAAGTTCGATTCTGTTACGACAAAAAATTTTTTATTCCTTTGATACAAAAGTGCCCTACTTTCAATAGGTGGAAGGAAGTTGATAGTATTATATAGGCAAATCAAAGAATGAATTCTGTTTTTTCATATTCGATTTTTGTTTTATTATAAATTGACTAGTTTATTGTTAAAACAGTCAGCTACTTGAATGATTTTGAGGTAAGTGCATTATTAATTTAAACTAATATAAGAGCAAGTGGGGCTAGATTGTTGTCAGTGGTTTAGGCAGTAAATTCATATTAAATCACCACGAAAAAATTATAATTGCAGATTTGTTAAAAAATTTTTAAAATTTATTACAAAATAATAAACCTATCTAACATTATGGCAACATATTTAATCTACAGAACTTATTATTCGCAAAGTAATTAAAATATTTAGGCTAAATGGATGTTTTTGTGATGCTAAGATCCAGAAATGTTAAGATGTCAGATATATACTACTGAATATATTGTTACTGTGAACTAAAAGTGTGGAATCCAGATTCCAGAACATTTAATTCAATTCTTATAGCAAAAGAAAGAAAGTTCATACGTCTCCGCAAACAAACTCCACTGGAACTTTGATCTGCGACTTCAACAGACGGATGTGCTACTGACCACAGTCCATTCAAGACCACAAAAATTGTTCATTGTCTATTCTTAAGTGACAGATTGTAATAAAAAAAAATTTCAACTCTTCTTAAAAACTTAAACTTTCTTTTGATATCAGATGGAATATTCTTCATAAACACATTTGCACTTTAAGACCCATGAAATTCAGTTGACCAAATGACTAATTATTGTGTTGAAATTTTAGATTTCGAAGTAATTTAAGAAAGATTCATCACTTCTCGGTAAAATCATTTTAAGCGATAAAGCATATTTCTGGATAAATAGTTTTGTAATGAAGTAAAATAATCGCATAAGAAGTGAATTAGAACCCAGATGTTGTCCATGAACCACGTATCACTAAAGTATACTATATTTCATTATTATTTTTACGTCAATATAAAACTTCTTCTATGTCGTACTGATTTTCCCTTTAATGAAATGAGAAGTTTATTTTAACAGACTTTAAATATATACTTCATAGTTTTTAAATATATTTTAGTTTCCAATAAAATAAATATTGTTTTATAACCTTTTAAATCCCAACATATAAAATTTTAAATTTTAATTTAAATTTTTTTTCCTTTTTTGCAGCGTCGACGTGAACGTGGTCGCATTCCAGTCAAAGGTGTCAGACTTGTTGAAACTGCTACGGTTAATGGTGAAGGTGGAGATCCTTTTGCACCGGATGTAAGTTACTTTCATACAAAATAAGACAAGAAACAAAATATTAAATATTTTTTCTTAATTTTTTTTTTATATTATATATATTTTATTTTATTATTATATTTTTTTTTTGTACGCAGGGTTACCCGTTTCAAGTAGGCTACTGTGAAACTTCTGACGATCAGCAACAATCTGGTCGTTCTGTGCCACAATATACCTTGTATTTAGTTGCTAGTAGTGAAAAGGAACGTAGCGATTGGATACGTGTCATAAGACAAGGTAAAGTATAAATTTAATATTAATAAAAAAAAAAATTAAAATGATAAAAATAAAATAAAAAAATAAAAAAGAAATGGACTTTATGATGTTCAGACAAACTTAAACGAGAAATTAAGCATGTTATAACGGCAGTTGATTGCTATAAATTTTTAAATGAAGTTAATAATTCATTCAAAATTAACTATATAAGATAAAAACTGAAATAAATAAGCAACAGATAAAGAAATGAAATACAAAAATGAAAGACATTTAAGGAATAATGCAGGTAGAAGAAGTAGAAGAAGACCTGAAAATGGACTCCTCAATTGTGGTCGATATGCCGTCTGATTCTTACAATTTCTTATTAATAATATGTGCTTATCATTTACTATGAGATAATGAAACTAACTACCATTTTCATTTTTATTTATTTATTTTATTAGATCTTTATTTGAGAGATGAAATATTTAGTTAAATAATTTAAAATCTACATACATACGTCTATATCTAGGCTATTATTGTTAAGGTATTTCTTCTCTTCTTCTTCGTTTGGTGCGCGAGTTCGAATAGTTGAAAATTTTTTAAGAATTTTGATTCAACATGAATTAAGACAGGTTTTCTTTCAGTTGTAATAAATTCAAAAAAGTCCTATCGTGAATATATTATTTACTCAAATATTAACATAATGTCTATTAAATTTATATAATATATTAATAAAACTGTTTCCATCACTTAATAACTTCTCGGTTGACCTCCATTCATCCTTAGTTCATTTCGCGTCTTCATTCCCATTTTCTTTAATATTGGATGTGTTGCAGTCATCGCTTCGTAATGAAAAAAATAAAACTAAAAACTAGAAACCGTAAGTCAATTGCGCGTGATGATGACTTATTGTGGCTACAATGTACCAACGTTAACAGGTATTGCACTATTGCTCCCCTGCATAGATGGTCGTCTCAATTTTTGCACACACTAAGTTCCCAATTCAGTTATTCAGTTTTTGGTTTTTTTACTGTTTCTGCTGTTGAACTTTTCCGCTTTGGGTCAAGACGTATATTGGCCAATTGCAACACGAGTTTTTGCTTGTCTTGTTGAGATTGCAGTAAAAGCCTTTAAATTGACTTAGTCAATGATATGAAGTGCACTATTTGATTTCGTTTCATTCAATATTACTCAATGGTGAGCACAGGTACTTAAACTTCTTAACGATATTTAAGCTTAAATTTGCATATAGAAGTACAATTTATTAATGACTTTATTTTCGCTATTTATTTATTTTCGTTTTTAATACACTTTTAACCTTTATTTGAGTGCTTATAATTGCAGCAGTTTATAAAATAATTGTGAAAAAAAGTATTGTTAGCATTTGGAATTAATTCAAGCATATAACGCATTTAAAAATAATTAAATACGTTCATATCAAAATTTAGTATAAAATTGTTAATAACCTTAGCACGTTAATGTAACTACAACAATTTATTTATAATTTCAAATAAATTGCATTTCGTGAATGTACTGTTTGCTCCGTACTTATGTTAGGTAAGGGTCACAACGGGAGTCCTTAAGATTCACTTAGATGAACTGACCCGTTCTGCTAACATGGAAAACTTAAAAACTTGAAACCAACAGGAATTAATTAAAATATCTGTAAATACGTAAATACACTATATTCTTTTCTAAAAAAAAGAGAAGTGTATATAATGAGATCACTTGTACCACGATTCTATAATATACCTGGCTGTCTATAAATCCACAGTTAGTTAATTTGTGTAAGACTGAAAATGGAAATATTAACTCTTTTATAAATAGGAATTGTCTAATAGATAGGCTTGCAGAAAAACTAATATTTTTAAATGATATGTACCCATTTTAAAGAAACTCAATTTTACATAGAATAATTAAAATACTAGATAGAGGACATTTTATTATAATTATTCGAATATTTCAGTTAGTTCACTGGCATTCACGCTTTTCGGTTCTTACACCAAAAACACTAATATTATTATAATTATTGTTTTTTAATTATTGTTATTTAATTATTGTCATTAAAATTATTATAATTTAAATAACTTATATAAAGTTATAATTTTACATCTCAGCGGGAGTTTTTGCAGAGATTGACATAATTCCGGAGGACAAACTTCAAGGAATTTATGCTCTGTTGTAGTGTAGTCCATGTTCTATACCTATTATATTTTGTTGCTACTTCTAAAGAATGTTGATTGTTTCTCTCACTATTGCACATGTATGCAACAAGTCCTAGTATTTATTAGCAGTTCGGAGAGTTCAATTATATCCATTAAGTTTTTTGAGAATTTTGGGTACTATACTAGTAGCTGATAGTATTGTCGGCACAACAACCACTCGCTGGATTCTCCAAATATCTTTGCAATACTTTATTTCTGCATATTCTATTCAATATTGCTATAATGCGAAATAACAACATCAGTCAGGTATACTGAAGCATTCTTTCTGTCAACCATTAGGATATCAGGCTTATTATGTGTTATTAGTCGATCTGTGTAAACTTGTTGATCCCAGTACATATGAATATTGGTATTTTTTAGCACCGCAGTGGGCATAAACAGATTATTTTTACTATTATTATAATTATTATTATTATTATTATTAGGACATATTTATATTTTAACAAAATTATAAATATAGTCTATTTACAAAGAACATTTTATGTACATCAAGTTTTTATTATAGAATTTACAAATGCTTTCCTGTTATTGCGCTGCTGAGCTATTGCTCTAAGCTCGCTAAAAGATTTCCTTGTTTCGCTTGTGACAGTTCTGCGCCGGCCCTGTGGGTTCCACTCCAACGCTGCGTGGGGTATTTCGTTTGAACTCTTCCGGGCCATATGGCCGGTCAATCCATCTATATTTGTTTGTTGATTTCCTATTTGATGCTTTCTTGATGACTTTCTTGATTATTATGATTATTATTATTATAATTATTATTATTATTATTATTATTATAATTATTATTATAGTTATTATAATTATTATTATTATAATTACTTCAATTATTATTATTATAATTATTATTATTATCATTATAATTATTATTATTATTATAATAATTATTATGATTTCAATTATTATTTTATTTTACTATTAATTTTACTATTACCATTACTATTATAATTATAATTATTATTATTCTAATTATTGTTATTATTATAATTATTATTATTATTACAATTATTATTATTTTTATAGTTACTATTAATATTTTTATTATTATTATTATTATTATTACAATCAATATTATTACTATAATTTTTATTTTTTCTTCATTAATACAAAGTTATTTTTTAATATTTTGTCTTGCAGTTTGTGAGGACACAAATACACCGAAGTCATATCGTTTTCATCCTGGTCTGTGGTCTGGCAAGAAATGGTCTTGCTGTAAAGGCATTAGTCGCAGTACATTTGGTTGTCAAGCAGCAACGCATTGGCGTGAAACCAATAATAATCCAAGTGAGTAGCTTATGGCCATGTAGCCTATGCGTAGCACCAAGACACACCGTTCATCATGCGATGTGTGTCATCCACGGCGATACGTCATGTGCGATTATTATTTTTACAACTTTGTTAATTAACATTAATGGATTCGCACTGCTCGCAGATGTGTTTTTTAAATTTGCATACACAAGCCTAATACATTAACACCAAACGGTTATGGAAATGAGCATTCAGGAAATGCGTTGAATGCATCAATTTTAAAAATATTTTTATTTTCGTGCTACCGTCTTAGCATTTTCCTTCAATCATTTCTTGGGTATATGTACGCGTTAACTCCTGGTCTTCTCCGTTTTCCATTTTCTGCTTATTGTTTTTATTTTACACTCAATTTTATTTTATTTTATTTATGACCCTTTTGCTCCCAATGAAAATTTATAACCACAACGAATTGCTGCCAAATGTGGAAAAATATTTCTATACTTTATCTATAATACATATTTATATGTATGAGATTATGTATCTATGCAAGTAGGTTCATTGCGACGTGAAGGCAGAGTCGGACACACATGCATTTTTCCAATTGCAGAGAAGACTCTGTGTACTGTGTACTGTGTACGCAGTAAAATTTAAATTTATTTTTGATGAAAAAATAGAAAAAGTAAAAATCGGAGGCTACTTGTGACTCCAACATGGCGTCGTCGTCTTTTAATTTTCAACAGTAGCTGTTCCATGTTCAATGATTTGCTTTGGATATATATTGTAGCAATACCAGTACATTTGAGAGTTGTATACTAGAGCTACTCCAAACCGTGGTGGCGCATTGTACGAGCAGTTCGCCAAAGAGACCACCACAAATACTTAGTTTCTCAGTTTAATGCTTGCATCTATCCCGTCGTGTACTTTTATTTAATCTTTCTTTGAACAACAATGTGTTGGAATTAAAATATATACATTTTAAAATTGTATTTTCTTCGCAATAAATTAAGCACAATAAAAAAGGTATAGATTATTTAGAGGAATTTATGAACACACAACAACTAATTAAACAATACAAAAAATTCACTACATTTTAACATTAACTGCAGTTTTCTTCAAAAATATTCACGCCTAATGGCACATTTATTCGTTTCATCTTTATTATGGATATTATTATATGTTAGCAAGAAAAGTAGCATTTAAGTATTTTCTGAAAATGAATTTTCCGAATGAATTTAATTTGTCGAAGATGATTATATATTCACCCGACACCCAAATAATCGTTAGCTGCCATACTCGCGGTGAGTATCAGCTTTGACAAGTTTTCACTGAATTTCTTCATCTTTGCATCTTTGTACAGCAAAGATTACTCTGTAACGTGTAATTTTTAAGCAATTTTTAACTAGTAGAAGCTATATAAATGCAAAAACTATTTACAAAAGCAATAACCAACATACAACAGCCACCTTGTTGTTTTGGTTGAAATAAAAAAGACCGAACGTTTTTTGTGTTTTTTGCTTTCTGTTCTATATATATATAAATATATATATATATATATATATATATATATATAAGAATTGAAACATAAGGGTTTTTGAGCAGTGTACAGAATAATTTGTTACATACATATAAATATATATATATATATATATATAATATGAAGTTTATTGTACGAAGTCTCGCTAAATGTAAGTCCCTCTACTAAAGTGTCTTCATACTATAGTTTCAAACTATTTCACAATAGTTTTGCAATAGTTCTTTCGATATTTCTATTGAATTGTATGGTAATTTCATTACTTTGATGCAATTATAGTTTCGAAAAATGAGTTACCCTTTCAATAACAATTTTTCTCTTTTATTCTCTTATTTTCTGGATATTTTTCTCGGTTTATATTTTAAAATTATAAGTTGAGCTAAATTTTTTTACAGAGACTATGTTTAAAATTATCAGTATTATTGTTTCTATGTCACTTTGCATTAAATTGATTGAATTAAAATATTTAAATGCTGTAATAAAGCACTTTGAAGCAATATTAAAAATATTTAATTGCATTTTAATAATACAAAAATTATATAAGAGTTCATGTCAGCAAAGTAAGATTGTTTTGTATTTACAATTTAATATATGTTTAATATGTTTACTAGACAATGAATGATACGTGGATTACAACCCGAAAATTACAAGTGATTTTGTAATGTTTAAATTTTTAAAATTTATTATGTTGAATTATTAGATTTACTTTAAAATAGTATCAAAATATTAATGAATTTCAATTTCAAGTTAACTCATATAAATATATAAGGCTGCAGTGCAGCAAATATTATTTTGTTGGAATTAAATCTTCATCTTATTCTTTATTATTGGATTAAATCCTGTTTTGTTACAACAATTGAATTGTATATATTTATGTGAAATTATGACGTATCAATGGCTATGTTTCTGTAGAGCCAGACGTCCAGCATTCATGCCATCTCTTTCGCGGTCCACCGGATATTCTTGCGACTGTTGGTTTCTCTACCATTGCAATTTTGGCCAGGCGATGATTTTGCATTCCTTGAACATGCAAATTCCACTCCTGTCTCTGTCTACTCCATTTAATTATGTCCGGTCGCTCGCAGATTCGCCTAACGTCGTTATTGCGCATTCAGTCCCAACGGGTGAAACCAGATATCGAGTGCAGAGTGTGTATTTTAGTTTTTGATATAGGATGTTCGGTGGTTTTCATATCGGCTCTTGTTTCAATGGTATACGTCGATATATCTAGGTCTAACGCACGTTTTATATATTCGGACTTTTCCTCTTACACATAGATATTTGTTTCACCATATAGTATCTCTAAGACAACCTGCTACGGGAATTGCTTTCTTTGTTTGGGCGGTAGCTTCAGCACTTAGGACCTTTGATGATGAAAATAACAGCTCGAAGATAGTTAAATTCCATTACGTGCTCTATAGGAGTATCGTACACTGTAAGTTTATACCGAAGAGGCTATCTCGAGATTGTTAGGGACATTGTTTTCGAGGTGGATATTTGCAAGAGTCTTTACAGGTCGTCTTCACTGTCTGAAAGTAATACATTATCGTCTGCATAAAAAACTATTTTTATTTCATTTCTTAGTTTGTAACCTCTGACCACACCTTTCACTGCAATAATCTCATCTATGATAAGATTAAGCAAAATAGGGCTTGAACTATCGCCTTGTCGAATTCCCCAAGCAACTGGCAGCTGACTAGACATCTCGTTATTTCTTCTGATGGTCGTTGTATTATCGGTGTTGAGATTTTTAACAGCGGTTATGTGATTTGATTGTCAACGTTACGCTTTTGTAAGGCAATTACTATGTGTTTCAAGAGAACTCTATCGAAGGCTTTGGTAAGGCTATGCAAATGTTCTTGCAGCTGCATAAATGAGCTCATTATAATGTTAGCGTTGATTCATTAATATAAATGAGCAAGTGCCTAAATAAGACAGTGTAAATGTACTATTAAAAGCTGACCACTTAACTAGTAGTTAATGTATTTAATTTAAATTTTTTTAAAATATATGTTAAGATTTTTAGTATATCTAATCCAAACATATAAAGAATAATTTTTCTCGTTTGTTTTTTTTATGAAAGTCTTGAAAAGAAAAATTCAAATTTCTTTATTGGGTAAAGATCTATAGTAATAGCAAAATGTTTTCAATACATTTATGCAATTAATTTTATTCTTCTTCTTTCTCTTTTATCTCTTATGCTGTACCCAATTTTGGCTTGGCTCGTTTTTTGGGTTATCTCCAGTTCTTAAGGTCTTGGACTACCCTTTCTTTACGCTTCAACAACGACTGTCGCTTTTAATGGTTATAGCTTTCGGTTACAAATTTTCGGTAGTCTACTTTTACTTTATTTATTTGCAACATTTGCGTCACCGTACGGTCCTTTAACTTTCTCATTACAAGACCGTATCAACAAAGATACTATTTTGCTAGTAATTTGGCGATAAAAACGACTTTGCTTCTACCTCAAAGTAAAGTGCATTTTGTCTAACAATGTTATTCCTCTAGCCTATCACCGTATATTTATTGAATGAAAACTCTTTTCCAATATTCGCAACCCAGCCCAACATTCAATTACTGATGCACTTAAATATTATTACCTAATAAGAGATCGGCTATAGATAGAAAAATATTTATACTTTTATACAATATGTTAACTTTTGTATAAATTAAAAAAGGCATAAATTTAACTTTTAACTAAATAGACTCCAAAGGCTTACTTATCTATTTACTGAAAGCCATTACTCAATAATTATGGTGTATGCAAAATGTTTCTGTTCGAAGTAGTCGTATATCATATATGTGCCAAATATTCTCGCTACTTCTTTTTGCTACTTTGCTACCTTAGAGTCTTTAAAAGTTTATCTCTTATTGTATAGTTAAGTACATTTACTCGTACTTTGAGAAAAACTAGTTTCAGCTCAAAGAAAAAAATTACCAAAACAAACAAAATAAGAAGGCAAAAATTACTGAAAATAAGTAGAACTTCATCCAAGTTCATTGCACGTGAACAACTGATTTTGTTTACATTTTTTGCTCCTGCACGGGACGCTGAAGGAAATTATCTGTATCTGTAAACAAGTATCTCAAAGATTTTCTTCAATAAACAGAAAACCAGATCTCAAATAGGCTTTTAAATTGAATTTATGTAGTTTAATTAATAAATATCGTATGCAAAATTAATGGAGATAAAATTTACTTATTCACTTTAATTTTTTTATCTATTAACAAAATTTACTTATAATTAATTATAAATAAAATAGATTTCAGAATATTGGCTATTTAGATTTTGGGTTGAGATAAAAATTTATCTGTGATGTATATTGAAATTTTATTGCTTTTTGTAAAACGATTAAAGCACAAAATTATATTTCTTTTAAAGACACATATATACATATATAACTAAGTTAATATTTTTTACAGGCCGAAGGACCTAGTAGTTCAGTTCGTTATTCTTTGTTTATTTAAAAATTAATTTTAATGTGAACTCACAAATAAATAGATA